CCTGCCTCCCTTGTCTATGTGCTGGAAAACATGTCCACAATAAGTCTTGATTAGCCAGGGTGTGCCCACCAGGATGCTCGGAAACAGTTCCACAGCCCAGAAGCAGTTCCACAGCTCCACAAAGTACATTACACCACTCATGTCCCACCCCAGATCCAGCTCAGATCTAGGTTACCAAGTGGCACATCAGCAGCGGAAATAATATAAAAGATTAATAATATATAGTTTGTAGTAGGGGACAAAATGGGCAAAAGCTGCAATATGTAGCTCTTGAGGACTAGTCAGGGCAAGATAAGAAATATTCCCAAGAAGAGTTCCAGATCCCTGGCTGATGAAGGCGCACCTGATGAATCTGTCTGACACAATGTTCCTGAAGACACACCACTGTTCTGGGGATTTCCTGACAACATAATCTTGGTAGATACTTCCGGACAGCCAAAGAGTTTCCTCCATGCTCTGACTGGGAGAAGCACACAAAATCCCTGGTCTCCTCCATAGGTTTTAATCAGTGGGCAGAAGGCTTGCCCATAGTCCTCTCCAAAATCCCCTGTTACGGTTGGGTCTGTCACACCCTTGAAGATATCGTGACGATGAAATGGGTACCAACTGTAGTTCCCTCTTCTTCTCTGTTGAGGACTGGTTGTAAAGGTGATCTTCTCCTCTGCTTTGGGACCATATGTCTCCAGATGCAGAGTGGTTTTGTCATGGTAGAGTTGCAGGCATAGTTAGAGGCTTTGCTGCTAGAGGTGGTGTTATGATTTCACCCACCAGACTACAAGGGATGTGCACATGACAGCCATGCCAGGGAACAAGGGGCTGGGTGACATTGCAGTGTCTCCAGAAATACTGATCTCTGGGGATTTAAAAGCATTGAATTATCTAGAGCTCAGTGAAAAATGCAAGATCATTTTAGAAACAAATACGTTAAACGAATGTAGGATATTTGGTAGGGAAGGTAACACTCACCATTTTCTTATATGACATGAATGTTACAATAAAACCTTTTTCTATTGAAGAACAGATGTTGTTGAATATCGGAATATAATTTTCACTGGATGAATCTTGAGTGAATTTCCACTAATTTAGCTTGATACATAGGGTGAATTTTTCACCACTGACGATTAAGAAAATCTTGAGGGAAATAAAAAAATTAAGGAGCAATTGAAAAAATGTTTAACCTTTAAAATTTGTTGGTAATTATTTTCCTATATTGCATCATACATTTACAGTATCATTTTATTTTTATCCAGTAAGGAAACAATTTACAGACAACAATTTTGGACCATCACTTGTCCTCTCTCAAACAAAGACATATAACCTGCTAATACACAAGACGAATAAATGTTGAAAACAAAAAGAAAAAACCCAATATGGGAAGCGGAATATGAGGAGAACAGCCTCTCTTACTACTCCAGTTCAAACCCCATGGATAGAAGTAGCTGAGGGAAGCAACAATGCCTATGATTGCTCCAAACACCTCCCAGATAGGAGGACAAGAAATGTAGGGCCAAAGGACTGACACAATTGCTGGTGGATAATGCTTGTGTCACTGGAACTTGAGAGCACTGCCTTCAAGTGGTATTAGTGAGAGAGTGATTTAGGCCACCAATGAGGTCAGGAACAAGCCAAGGTCATGAGCAGGTGGGAAAAACAAAACCAACTGAAAAGGCTGAGAAGGAGTCTGGAACAGTCTGGTTCAGCAATTTTGCAGGCAGCAAGATACCAGAATGTAAAGGCAGGAGATGTAGTTGGTGAATGAGCCAGGGTCAGCACAGGAGTAGATGAGGAGGAGTCACAGATGGGTCAAAGAACAAGTAGGGTCAGTAACAAGAGTTAGGATCAGATTGCAGAATACCTGAAGGGGTATACAGCTAGAAACCTCTTAGCACTGAGGCCTTGTAGGGCTCAGCTTTAAATAGCTTGCTTTGGTACCCATATAGGCAATGCTGCAAGGCATGCACACAAATGCTTACGCATCTGCACAGAGACGAATGGCCATCTACAATTCTCTGAGCAAATCAATACGCTTGTGTATGCGAAGGTGTTTATGCTGGAATTGAGCATGAAGGCTTGCACAATCATTTGGAGAAGTATCTCAGAGAAAAATCCCTGAATCAATAAATGGTGCTTATATCACTGAGATAAAAGCAAAGCAGTCTGAGGATCACCATACACATTACAATCTGACAATACAATCTTTGTTCAATCATCTTTTCATTTACCAAAACTATGAAATATGACCACCTACGTAATCCACCCAAACAATTTATTTCCAATCAAGCTGGCCCTTGCAAAACATAGTCATTGATAGATCTAAAGGAGATTGTACAATCAGATTGTAATGCGTGTAGTAAGCTTTAGGGCTCATGCACACTATTGTGCTGCAATAACCATTATTCCCTTTGCTGGGATTCAGTGCTATTCACTCTGAATAGAAACCCAATGCACCTTGTTGATGGACATGTGATGCAGCATATAAAGTTGTGTTGTAGTTGACTGTCAAAAATACTACATACAGCTTTTTTTTTGTGGTTTGGTTTAATGAATAGGCTGCCTTTAACCACTTACCAACCACGTTATAGCCGATTGACGGCTACAGCACGGTTGTCCAGTTCTGGGAGGGTGTCATATGATGTCCTCCCAGAACGTGCCCTTCCGAACGCCCCCAGCGGTGCTCACCTGGCGCTCTCTGTGATCGCTGTGTCCTACGGACACAGCTGATCACATGGTGAGGTAAAAGGCCAATCACAGTGGCCTTTTACCACATTATCAGCTGTGTCCAATGACACAGCAGATCACCGAGTAAATACAGTTGCTGGTTATCGGCTGCACATTCCTCACGCTGTCACAGCATGAGGAAAGCAGTGCCGATAACCTGCAAATGACACAGAGGACATCTGCACTGATGATCAGGCACTGATGATCAGTGCCAAGCAGTGCTGCCCAGCAGTGCCTCCTACCAGTGCCCAACAGTGCCACCCATCAGTGTTGCCCAGCAGTGCTGTCAGTCAGCATGGCCCATCAGTGTCGCCCAACAGAGCTGCCTATCAGTGCCCATAATTGCTGCATATCAGTGCAGCATCATCAGTGCCTCTTCATCAATGCCCACCAGTGCCACCTCATCAGTGCAGCCTATCAGTGCCCATCAGTGCTGCCTATCCATGCCACCTCTCCAGTGCCCATCAGTGCAGCCTCATAAACGCACATCAGTGAAGGAGAAAAATAACCTGTATGCTAAATTTTATAATAGAAAACAAATACATTTTTGAAAATTTTTGCTCTTTTTTTGTTTATAGTGCAAAAAATAAAACATCAAGTGGTGACTAAATACCACCAAAAGAAAGATCTATTTGTGTGAAAAAAATGATAAAAATTGCATATGGGTACAGTGTTGCATGACTGCGCAATTGTCATTCAAAGTGCAACAGCGCTGAAATCTGAAAATTGGCCTTGGCAGGAAGGGGGTAAACGTGCCCAGTAGGCAAGTAGTTCATGCAATATGCATAAAGAATGTGGTAATGCAGCACAATAATGTGAATGGGGACTGTAGGAGATAATGTAAACAGTATAACAAAACCTAAAAATAAAATTAAATCAAGATCCACATTTAACCCCTTAGCATGCCCAACTTATCTATCCTGTATGAAATTGTGAGGCTTCTTATAAAGCATGCGCGCTGCCCTATCCAAGCTGCTATTGGTTGCAGCGGATGTCAATCACTGAGTCCTGGCCGGTGAGTCTCAGCTGGCACTTGGTGATTGCTGCTAAAGCTGAGATGGGAGGGATCTGTGTGTAAACAACACCTCTCTCCTGTCAGCATGGACATGCTGCTTTCTCTCTCTCTGAGTGAGAGAAAGCAGCATTTCTCTCTAGTAAAACAGCACACAGTGTAAGCACAACACAGTACACAATTAACCCTTTGATTGCCCCCAGATGTTTACTCCTTCCTGCCAAGTGTCATTAGTACAGTGTCAATGCTTTTTATTAGCACTGATCACTGTATTAGTGTCACTGTCGATGTCAGTGGCCGTTAATCAGTTCCCACCCAGTGTCAGAATGCCCGCCACAGTCCTGCTATAAATTGCTGATTGTCGCCATTACTAGTATAAAAACAAATAAATAAAAATTCCAGTATGTGTACCACCATTTAACTTTCACGTAAACCAATTAATGTACACGTATTGGGAATTTTTTTTCAGCAAAGACATGTAGCAGAATACATTTTGGCCTAAATTTGTGAAGAAATTAGATTACATTTTTTATTGGATATGTTTTATAGCAAAAAGTAAAAAATATTGTTTTCTTCCAAAATTGTCTGTCTTTTTATGTTTATAGCATAAAAAATAAAAGAACAGGGAGATGATCAAATACCACCAAAAGAAAGCTCAATTTGTGGGAAACAAAAAGGACATAAATTTCATTCATGTACAGCCTTGCATGACCGCGCAATTGTCAGTTAAAGTAACACAGCACCGTATCACAAAAAATGGCCTGATAAGGAAGGGGGGGGGGGGGGGGGGGAAATCCTCTGGAGGGCAAGTGGTTAATGAGCATACCACTTGAAAAAGGTATAGTTAAGTAGAATCTGAACCTACTCACAGTATACAGCACACACATATACTTCAGTTCTTGTACCAACAAAATACTCCTTAAAGCAGACCTTCCCACCTTGCTAATATACTACCAATGCCATTGATATCTCTATAGTGAAAAAATGGGTTTACTTATATTAAAAAGCTTTGTTAGTACTCACTTTTTCTCCCGAGACTAATATAGATGTGTTTCTACCTCCAGGTGCAGGGGAATGTGATAGGCACAACTTGTGTGCCATCGTATACAAACCTGTACCTGCAGTGGTTGGGAGCGTGACATCGGTTACAGTGATGATCTCTCTATGTACACTATATTGCCAAAAGTATTGGGACACCCCTCCAAATCATTGGATTCAGGTGTTCCAATCACCTCCATGGCCACAGGTGTATAAAATCAAGGACCTAGACATGCAGACTGCTTCTACAAACATTTGTAAAAGAATGGGTCAGTGAATTTAAGCGTGGTACTGTGATAGGTTGCCACCTGTGCAATAAGTCCATCCGTGAAATGTCCTTGCTACTAAATATTCCACGGTAAACTGTTGGTATTATAACAAAGTGGAAGCAATAGGCCATGTAAAATGACAGCGGGGTCAGCGTATGTTGAAGCACACAGTACACAGAAGTCTCCAACTGTCTGCAGAGTCAATAGCTAAAGACCTCCAAACTTCATGTGGCCTTCAGATAAGCACAACAACAGTGCTTAAAGATCTTCATGGAATGGGTTTCCATGGCCGAGCAGCTGCATCCAAGCCTTACATCACCACGTGCAATGCAAAGCGTCGGATGCAGTGGTGTAAAGCACACCGCCACTGGACTCTAGAGCAGTGGACACGTTTTCTCTGGAGTGACAAATCATGCTTCTCTGTCTGGCAATCTGATGGACGTATCTGGGTTTTGTGGTTTCCAGGAGAACTGTACTTGCCTGATTGCATTGTGCCAAGTGTAAAGTTTGGTGGAGGGGGGATTATGGTGTGGGGCTGTTTTTCAGCGGTTGGGCTTGGCCCTTTAGTTCCAGTGAGGGGAACTCTTAAGGCGTCAGCATATCAAGACATTTTGGACAATTTCATGCTCCCAAGTTTGTGGGAAGAGTTTGGGGATGGTCCCTTCTTGTTTCAAGATGACTGCGCACCAGTGCACAAAGCAAGGTCCATAAAGACATAGATGAGCGAATTTGGGGTGGAGGAACTTTACTGGCCTGCACAGAGTCCTGACCTCAACCCGAAAGAACACCTTTGGAATGAATTAAAGTTGAGACTACGAGCCAGGCCTCCGACATCAGTGTCTGACCTCACTTTTGGAAGAATGGTCACTATGTCGAGTTCTTTTTAATGAGGAATACGGCTGATACAAAGACACTCATCAGGGGGGAGCTTACTTTGGAGTCTTCATTCAGCATGCTGATCTTCTGGGTCCATATAGGACCAAAAGTGCTGTTAGACCGTAACATTGTATAATGTGAGGTCATACTGCATGAGGTGAGCAGATATATGGTGGAGGATGTCTTTGCATGGAAATTGATGACAGATGCACATATTTTAGTTATCCAAAGGAGGGTTTACTGAATGGACACTTTATTGATTCAACTTGATTTTTGATTGACTTTCATTTGATTCATACTTAAAATTATTTAAAATGTTTATATATTTTTATTTTTTTTGTGGTATATATATATATATATATATATATATATATATACAGTTGTGTTCAAAATAATAGCGGTCAGACATCACTAACCTGATCAATCACTGTTTTTGGTAGAAATGTTATTTCTACATGGCAAATAATTTACTAGCAGGTGTGGTAGAGTAATAGAAATCCAACAGACCCAACAGTCATGATATGTATGCTGCTGATTCTGTGTAATTGAATCACTAATGGAAAGGGGCATGTTCAAAATAATAGAAGTGTGGAGTTCTATTAGTGAGGTCATTCATTCTTTGAAAAACAGGTGGCAATTATTGCCCTTATTTAAGGAAGGAAGGCAGCAAATGTTGTACATGCTGGTTACAGTGCATTTCTCTCTGAAATTCTGAGGAAAATGTGTCGTTCAAGACATTGTTCAGAAGAACAGAGTACCTTGATTAAAAAGTTGATTGGAGAGGGGAAAACATATAAAGAAGTGCAGAAAATGATAGGCTGCTCAGCTAAAATGATCGCAAATGCTTTAAAATGGCAACGAAAACCTGAAAGATGTGGAAGAAAGCGAAAAACTACTATTTGAATGGATAGAAGAATAGCCAAAATGGCAAGGACTCAGCCAACAATCAGCTCCAGGAAGATCAAAGAAGGTCTAAAGTTACCTGTGAGTACTGTTACAATTAGAAGACGCCTATGTGAAGCCAAGCTATCTGCAAGAAGCCCCCGCAAAGTCCCACTGTTGAAAAAAAGACATGTGCTGACGAGGTTACAATTTGCCAAAGAGCACATTGACTGGCCTAAAGAGAAATGGCGCAACATTTTGTGGACTGAAGAAAGTAGGATTGTTCTTTTTGGGTCTAGTGGCTGGAGACAGTTTGTTAGACGACCCCCAAAAACTGAATTCAAGCCACAGTACACTGTGAAGACAGTGAAGCATGGTTGCGCAAGCATCGTGATATGGGGATGTTTCTCATACTGCGGTGTTGGGCCTATTTATTGCATACCAGGGATCATGGATCAGTTTGAATACATCAGAATACTTGAAGAGGTCATGCTGCCTTATGCTGAAGAGGAAATGCCCTTGAAATGGGTGTTCCAACAAGACAACGACCCCAAACACACCAGTAAACGTGCACCATCTTGGTTCCAGACCAACAAGATTGACGTTATGGAGTGGCCAGCCCAATCCCCGGATCTTAATCCAATAGAAAACTTGTGGGGGTGACATCAAAAATGCAGTTTCTGAGGCAAAACCAAGAAATAGAGAAGAACTGTGGAATGTAGTCCAATCATCCTGGGCTGGAATACCTGTTCACAGGTGCCAGAAGTTGGTTGACTCCATGCAACACAGATGTACAGCAGTTCTCAGAAACAGTGCTTATACAACTAAATATTCACTAAGTGATTCAAAGGAAAGCAAAATCTTCAAACATTTTTCAGTTTATATAGTGAATGTTTGAGTTTGTAAAGAATACAAACACTGCTATTTTTTTGAACAGTCTAATATTCACTTTTCTTCAATTTTTTTAGAGAAACAACACAAATTTGATAGATTTTTCTTCATGTTTTGATTTGGAATAGAATGTGTAGTGTTCCCAATGCATTTGTGTGTATGGAAATAAAAGCTATTAGGATTTTGAGCTTTATTCACTTTTTTCAACACACTGCTATTATTTTTACCACAACTGTATATATTCATACATCTATATTTCTATTTCAATATTAATATTTTTTCTGCTACTATTTTTCATCTAATAATTATTGATTTATTTTTGCACTTTGTCTTTTGGTAATGGTTTGTACCATTGGTTTATGTAGCGCAGCATTTTTTTATTTCATTTTTTTATTGTATATTTGCCCCACTGAGACATGGGTTGTGTGTACTAGCGGCTACAGCAATATATTGTATTTTTGTTTTTTTCACCATAGTTAGCGCTTGAGTTAATCAATATATATTATAGAAGTGGATTAGGGACCACTAGGCCAGGCTGTCTGTCTACTGTAGAAATGAATGGAGGGCTCTCTGGCCAAGCTGTTTATTGTTCCTTTACTTGCAGGACCTCCCACTGACCACTGGTACTGAGGCAAACTTCCTCCTAGTGACCACCCGTGTTGGGACAGTTTTTTTCTCACTAACAATGTAAAGGGCACTGTGTTTAATATTCTTGATCCAAATACTCCTGGCTGCACTGCAAACACCTGTGTACTCTGTAATAAAATGTCTAAAAGAATCTGGCGCCAGAGTCTATGTATATGAATCACCATGGAAAAAAATCAACAAAGCCGTGAAGGATTTTAACAAGGTTAAAAAGGTATTCAAAAGCCCCTCAACCACATGAGATCAATGTCCCACAGTGTGGTGGTGATGCTGTAAAACAGTATACATCAAGTTTTGGGGCTTGGATAGATGTGCTGTGGCGACTTTGCCCAATGAGAAGTGCCGACTAACCTGAATTGGGACCGTGTGCACTGGAACTGATGCACCGGATATGATGTATCCAAGGATGCCATGAGGGCTGGCCAACATCCGAACCAGAAGAGCCTGTGTCACGGGTCTGGGTAGCGGGGACATTGCTATGACAACTTGTTTCACATGCATGCGCTTTCTCAAGTCACTTATGTTATAAGTTGTACTTTACACATTCCTGACCCCTATCCTTTTCACCCGAAAGATTTATGTTGTACTTTACATACAGCTAAACTCAATACTCTGTATGTTTAAATTATAACTAAAGGCAAAACTTTTTTTTTCAGCTTTGGATAGAGTGCAGAGGGATTAGAGCACCTGTTAGGGTAAGCTCTCTCCTGATGAGCGTCTTTGTATCAGCTGTATTCTTCATTAAAAAGAACTTGAGAAGCTTCCGGTTCCGGCGCCGCATGTGAAGACGGTGAGACCCGCGGCTCTGGCATATTAAGCATATTAAGCCGGCACACCTCAGCTGGGGAGGACCTACTCAGCTTAAAAGTGCCCCCCGATCCCCCCCACACTCACCATGCATGGACCGATTCCTGCTCCCGGTCCCAAACGGCCCTGGATCAGCCGTGGAGGCAGAGGGAAACAGCTCTCCCCCTTCTGCAGCCAAGATGGCCGCCGAGCACAGCAGCAGCAGCATGGACACAGGACAAGGTATGGCAGTGACACACACACATGCCACGTCCATACAGTGCCATGCTGACACCTGTAGTCCAGCAGATCAGTATGACAAGATAGCACAGGCTGTGGCTTCCTTACTGTTACTCACTATCACCCAAGCTGTTGACAGAGCAGTGGCAATGGGAATAGAGCAGCTTAGAAGAGATATGGGTGACAACGCTAAACGCATCACTGACGCGGAACAGCGACTGTCAGATTTAGAAGACGATCTTCAAGCTATTCAGGCGAGAACCGCACAATCCAAACGTGTGCAACAGACCATCTTGGAAAAAAATTGATGACCTGGAAAACCGTTCACGCAGGAACAACTTACGGGACATAGGACTCCCTGAATCTTTCAACTCGGGCACCCTAGCGGACATATGCTGCACGCGCATTCCCGCCGCTTTAGGCATAACCACGCCATGTCAAGTTGAAAGAGCACACCGCCTAGGGGCACCCTCAAATGATCGACGTACTCCACGCTCAATCATAGTCACATATCTCAATTATGCAGACCGCGTGGCTATCCTCAACTCTTTTCGAAACTCCCGCTCACTTCAAGTAGATATTCATAAATTACTCCTATTTGCAGACTATTCACAAGAAGTCGCTCGAAAACGCAAATCTTTTCAACAAATATGCGCAAACCTCTACCAAAAAGGGATAAAATTTACCCTAGCATACCCAGCCACTTTGCGCTTCACCACCCCCACGGGAGACTCTAAATCCTTTGTCCACCCTGAAGAAGCCCTCCAGTATATCCAGAGTAATATGTCAGATATCCGAGACCCTTCGCTTTCACATTCAGCAGTCCAAAACACAGGCCCAAGAGACCAATGCAGCCCCCGCAAGGACCCACCAAAACGACAGCGAATTAACACCTCCTTGGCCAAGCCAAAACCACCCTGATGAGGTCTAATAACAAAATGGCGCGTTTATTCCTCTTTCACCTAATGATTACCACAATGCTCTTTTGGTCACCAATTTCTAGGCTACGTTACACGCCTTCTAGTTTGAGAACCACATATGTTATGACTATCTGTTATACTCGTTC